GGAAATGAAGAGAAAGAAGAGAGGAAATTGTGAGAGAGAGTTCTATTGTTTGTAGCGACTTGTTCTCCTGTCATTGTATTACGTGGCCGCGGCATATCACGCGTGTGTAGAAATGACTGTGCTCAGCTTTATCACTTCAGATGAGACTTCCTTGTACATTATCGTATACGTTTACGATTGAGGAATTATTGGCGATAACTTTCTTATTCTTCTCTCTCTCTCTCTCTCTCCTTCTCTCCTTCTCTCCTTCTCACACTCTCCCTCTCTCCCTTTCCTCTTCGTTTCCCTCCCTTTTCCTCTTCTCCCTCTTCCTTTCCTTATCTCCAACCTCTCTCCTTCCTCCTATCCTTCTTCCTCCTTCCCTATCCCTCTCCTCCTTTCCCTTTCCCTCCTCACCTCCGTTATTCTCTTCTCCCCCACCCCCTTCCTTCTCCTCCTCCTTCGCACAGCACTTTCTTCCCTCCATGGTTTAGAAGGAAGGAATTCGGCCAAGAAGTCACCGGCGATGACAGATACAGTTGCCAACGACCGATTTTATAAGCCGATTACACATCCATTGACAGGTGTTATTCCTTTCACTGATTTCTTATACTTTATGGTCTCTTAGACAACCAGTGATCCTTTTTTATTATGTGTGCAGCTTCTTACGACACGCTAATGGATGCAATTTACGTAATAATGGTTGTAAGGAAATGGGCTAAAAATAATAAATACGAGCATAATGAAAGCATAAAAATGCGTTAATATTTTTTTGCGTCAGTTTTTTCAATTAATCATAGAATCTCCTACAGCTATCTTTAAAAAAACATCGGTAAAATGATAAATGCTTTATAGGCTCGGAAACAGTACGCGCCCTTCGTTCCACTTGACAAGCCACGATAATTTGATAAATGGCAACTGTACATCACTATGTCGACCATTCATGAGCAGGTGAGTGAGTGTCCCACAATCCCTTGTGCCTGGCGATCGACACGGGAGAGTAGCCCTTATCGTCGCCGGCAATAAAGCCAGAATTGCCTTCCGCCCCATCGGTTAAACAGATAAACCGTGACAATTGTGAATTAGCCCATATTTGCCTTC